TATTTGATTTGTAGTCCAAAGTATAGTCATCTTAGAATATGAAAATAATCTATGTTAAAAATAATAAAATATTGTGTACATGAATTCAATATGCAGGCATATAAAGCACACCATATCATACATATAAGAATATGTAATTATAAATATAGGAAAATAATCATATTAAAAATCAAAACATGACAACAATTAAACTCAACCATATATATTATTTATATATGGAATTATAATTCAAGCAAATGATTTATCCAATTATACGTATGAATTGTACAAGAATATTTTCAATATATATGAGCAGTGCGAAAATAATACCATAAATGTAAAAAGTATAACCCGTAATGTAGAAATTAAAGGGAAAATAAAAATAATATTTTTTTATTTTAAGATTTTCCAATCTATTTTCTTTAAAATACCAAATGTATTTGTACTTAATTCATGAACTGTACTTAAAAAAATATATTAACAAGATTAAGTATTTCAAAGAATTTACTTAACCTTTTCGTATATTAGTAAGAAAAACAATTAACCTCAGTGTTTTCGGTTTAATCTTCTAAAAGTTACGAAAGTTCTAATATTACATTAAATCGCAAAATACAATTCAATTCCAAAATTTTCTCTTCTAGCTTGGATTTTTGTTAAACAGTTTGTACTCTTATTTAAAAATTAAGATTATCATAACATTTAAAATATTAAAAATTAATCTGCAAATATAATTAACTCTAAAAATCATAAAAACATCCAATTATCAGATATTATAAATTTTTTTCATTTTTAGTAACACATTCAATAATTAACCACTGCAATATCAAAAATAATCGTACATTTATTTGTGATTTTTAAATTAATATACGAGTAACTTTATGTGTGGGTAATTGATTATAAAGTATATAAGCACTATTCCAACCTGATATATTATTCCAAAGTAAATTCTATCAGAGAATATCGTACTCTAAAAAGCATTTTTTATGGAAATGGCTAAAAAAAATGTTACACTTAAGATTACAAATCTATTGCTCTTCTTTATTTTATAAAACAGCAAAACTTCCATAAAAACTACGGCAAGCTAGTCACCTATCTAGTTAATGCTCTATAACTATAATTAGACTGGGCCATAACATAATTCTGTGATGTCATGCACTAGCTCTATACTCCTCCTAGGAGTGGAAAATAACAAAAAAAAACTTCCATATGACAAACCACCTATATAACGAACTGCTCTATATAACTAAGCAATTATTGTTCGTCAATGAATTCAAAATTTTTATTTCATTTTCTATTCAACATACTTGTCAATATTACAAAATAAAATATTTGGAATTAAATGGTTCGTAGTATTGGAGTTTTACTGTAATTCTACTGCACTTTTAATGTCCGCTTATAGGCAAGTTATTCATATACAAATTCTCTTTCTTCTTTATTTTTTCATATTAAATTTATCATTATATAAAAAGATTTTTCTTGATTAAAATATCAAAAAAATAAAAAACATAAACACTAAAAATAAAATTGCAATTAGTAATTTTTTCTTTTAATTAATTGAAATAAGGAAGTTTTTGTATGTACAAAACGAATAACAGTATTTGAACTAAAATGGAATGTGACGAATTTTTATATATAAAAACGAAAACGAAAGCAAAAAAAAAATCGAAATCTTACATTTTTGCCAAAAAATTCTTCTTAATTTACATAAAAATATGTTCATTATTAATTTGGTAATATTTCAAATAGCAATTTCACTAATTTATTATTTAAAAATAAAGTAACTATATGAGAGGAATGAATGAAACTATAAATGGTTCACTTGGAAAATACTATTTCATGTTGAATTTAATTCTTACATTTTGCATTTTGGTCATCAAGAAATTTTTTGAATTAAAAATTGAATTCATATAGCGAAAATAAACGTTTATCTATAATTAAGTATATTCAAAATTTTTCAAGTAATTTTCAATTCAAAAAATAGGTATTTTATTTTAATTTTGATGGACAAAATAAAAAAAAATATATTCATTAGGAAAATATAATTATTTATAAATCATTGAGGCTCATTCGGCTTGAGAACGAATCAGGAGTTTTATATTCATTTATATTATAAATACAATGACAATATTTAATGATAAATTATATCTACTAATCAAAATTACAAATGATAATAAAAGAAGAGCTAAATTGACTTCATAAGAAATAGTTTGTGTTACAGCCCGCAAGCCCCCTAATAATGCATAATTAGAGTTAGAAGACCAACCAGCAATCATAACGATTCTAATATCATCACTACCACTTACAAATTTAATCTTTATAAAAAGCCTCATGCCAAGAGTTAGTGTAACCATAACATTGTAACTGTGTTTCTTGGAAGAATGAAATATTTTGTGCAAGAAATAAATTGCACGTTTAAAATCTAGTTTTTGTAATTGTCGAAAAATTCCTCGAATATTTTCGATTTTCGATATTTGCTGTTATTTTACTGTACAATAATAAAATAGTTGAAAATTTTTATCTCCTTATGAGGGCGATTTAAATTCTTTTTTTTTTGTTTGTTTTTAGCTTAAACCTTGGGAGCTAGAATAAATTAAAAATTTTTTAATTTAAATTTTATTTTAAAAGGGATAACAATTAACATTAAATATTTTTCTACAGATATAAATTAGGGTTAACAAATCACTAGACTCACAAAAAACATATTAGCAATGCTTAGTAATCATCAGAAAATCTTCGACTAACAAGTCTTCTAACTAGTCTTCTAACAAAATATAACGAATTACACACGAATACCTCCAGTGGCTCCTGTAAATTTATAGTAATTAGGATTACCCCAAAACTCATCTTATTTTCTGTATCAGATTAGAGAGTATTTTTGTTCATTCCATGCCGCACCAACTTTCTAATAACCACAATTATGACGGAGCGAGTGAATATCCAAAATTCTAATCACGTTACAAATTTATGTTACAAACAATGAGCCAGCATCGTAGATAATATTCTCGTTAAAATAAACCTGCTTAGTATTTTGAACGCATTTCATAAAAGATGTAGTACTATTAAAATATTATTTGTAAACAATTTGTTTTAATATACGAGAACAACAATTCTTGATTAAAGTTCACGATAACGTGAGTAAATATTACACTGTTATTAACCAATATACAAAATTAAGTTCGATCGCACAATTTATATAGTACTAGGTATATAAGAAGATAGAATAGCATTGCATTTACAAACTACACCCAACAACTTCATAGTAGTCTAGAGTGTTATAGTTCTGCAAAAGATATGCGGCACATAATCTCATTCAAACTAATTTTAAATCAATTTTTACATATTAAAAAAATAATACATTCTTTATTTGTTATCAATTCAAATCTTCAACTATGCACAATATATGTGTGTATAACTATGTATATCACGCATAAATATAGATGTGGCACATGTTAATTGTCACATCAGGTAAAAAATATTTTAATTATGCAATTTTCTTATTAAAACAAATTCTGAAATTTTCTTAATTAAAAAATTATTGATAACATCTTTTCAAAAAATTGTAAATGATCTAGATCCTAAAACCTGCACCTTTGCGCCCCCTGGATTTCAAATGCCTTATGCATTAAATGAATTTTAAAACCAAATATTAAGTATGAACGTTATGTGCATCTACAAATTTATTATTTATTCATTATTTTTATTTAATACTTATAAACAATTTTTAGACGTTGAAGAAAAAATTTTTAAAATGACCTTGGAAACATGAAATTCTCCATAGCAATTGAATCAAAGATCAATATTTTTATTTCATCAATTTATTTTGTAGGTTCTAACGAATTTTTATAATGATAATGTACATATGTACATAAATTTATTACATATTACATAAAAATATTTTAATTATATTTCAGGTATTTTTTAATAGAACAATTTATTTGCAAGGTAAGTAAAAATCAAAATCACAAAATTTTTGTTATTCATAATATAAGTATATGTGTGTAAATTGTGTTATGACTCACAAAAATAAGTTTGCTATCTATTGGAGCTAAAACAAAAACTATATCGTATCGAAATATACGATATTACACTCTAATTGAATAAATTGAAATTGTTGCAAGTCCCAATAGGTATTTATTACACGAAAAAAATTTGTATTAAATCGTAAACCTGAAGTCAAATGAATGCATAAAATGTTTTAACAACTGAATTTAAGTGAAACCATTAAAAAATAGATTATAAAGGTGTTGGTCCAAAATTTAACTTAAAGTTGAATAATTTCATTTAAAAATAAAATTGGGTTAAACCCCAGTGGTTTGTAAGGCAGCATTTTTTCCTTCAACAAGTGAAAATACAATCCAGCTATTAACACTCTAGTTAAAAACGATCTAGTTTTTGCGCTGAGTGATTTTAATTTAAGTTAATTTCCTTCATATACTGAAATATTTCAAAGATTGCATACATTTAGGATGAGTTAAATATAAAATTGAAAGAGTGATTAAAATAATACTCGAATTAAAGTGTTATTTGTGTGAGTTAAGAAAAATAATTATACGTTTAATGGAATAGCATTTACGTTTCCGCATATAAGGAAATTTCGAAAAGCTTGCAGTTTCGGAAATATAATATGACAAAATTTCAAATTTTTCAAATTTTAAGAGACGATAACTTGAGAAGGTGTGGAGGTAGAAAAGAATTTTTTTTTTAAAAATAAACTATTTACTATCATATAAAAGCTGCTCAATTCAAGTTAATAAACACTCAAATTTTTTTCGAAAAAGACTAAAAATAGCACTATCTAAATTTTTGCAAATAGTTGAATACGCATTTAGATTGGTTTTGATTCTCAACTAATTCCCAACTAAATCAAAAATACATAATTTAAATTAAATTTTTGATTTATAGAATTTCCGTGTTAAAATTACGATAAATAATTAATTAAATTATAAAATCAAAAATTGGTTAGAATTTTTTCAATACAAATATAAGAAATTATTTAGACTCTTCCGGAAAATTTTATTTACCTGATATTTTCAATATTTCTTTTATACTTGGATATGTTATCAAATTAATTAAATTTGTACAATAACTGTTTTCAATTTCCGTATTTTAATTATTATTCATTTTAGTTTTAATAAAATAATAAATTATATAATTTCTATATACTTAATATTGATAATAATTTTTAATATTTTATAAATTTTCAAAAAAAAAATTATATATTATGATTGATATTTTAGAACTGTATTTGTATAACTATTGATTAATTAAAATTTTAAATTTATTTTTTTTATAAAATTTTTCAAATTTTTTTTTGATTATATTAAAAATTTATTTTTTTTAACCCTCTCTTACAATAAGTAACTTATATTTTTAATTACTTAATTTTAAAATTATTATATATGATTTAATTAAATAAATTTTAAGTAAATTTTTTTTCTCATAAATCATTAAATTACGTATATGATTATAATTATAAAATATAGTGTTAAATTATAATAATTAATTATTATTATAATATTATTAATTTCATTATTCCACTCATAAATTTATTGAATATTATTAATAAATTAATATTAAATTGTTTAGAATTTTTAATATTTTTGTTTATGCACTGTAATCTATATTTTTTTAATTTTTCTAAATTAATGATAAATTATTTAAAATTTTAATAAAATTTTATAATAAATGTATTTTACGATTAATAAATAATTAAAAAAAAAAACAAAAATAACAATGTAATGAGAAGAAATAATTAAATAAAATAAAAATAATTCGAAAATGAAATCCAAAATAAATTTAATTTTTATAATAAACGAACTTTTTTAGTGTTTCTCATTTACTCATAAAATTATGAATTAATTTTCGAAAGAAAAAACCAAAATTTTTTTTTTTATTTATTTATTTTCTAATTTTTTTTTCTTTATTTACCGCACCGATAAAACGACACAACCTTACTACTTCAATCAGTTATAGGAACTGAAATTTTCATTTGATTTTCTTAAATCAAATCGTATTATTCGACAGGCACAAAAAAAAATATGTAAAAATGTGTAAAAGAAAAAAAAAAAACAAAAAATGCCATCCCATCAGTATACAGGGAGGTAACGAATCCACGTTATGTTCCACTGCATATATAAAATTTTCTTATCCCTATCTGTAATGCTATATGTCATTATGATTAAAAACAGCAATATTCTGTTGTTGATTGTATATTGTAATTGTTGTTATTACTTTCATCTGTTAAGCGCTGTATAATATTCTAATTTTTTCATTTTCAAAATTTCTGTCTTCTGTAAAATAATAATTTTTCTCTGTTTTGCATATTCTTCTCAAAAATTAATAAACAGAACTATAGATAACATGTTATTATTATCTTAAAAAACTATTGTGTATTACAGACACAAAAAATTTTTACAGAAAATATAACATTGATGAGAAAAATTTTGCTTAAATACATGCATAAATTTATCGGTGCAAACTTATTTCCACACTCTTTTCCACATGCACAACACTTCACTCATTACATTTTACAGGTTGTCTGTTTAATCTTGTTTCCAATACTCGCCTAATTCTATTTCATACAACTACTCTTATTTAATAAAAATAAATTTCACCATACACATACATAGCTAATGTGGTGAAATTTTTTATAAATTATATCAATTATATGTTTACAGAAATTTTGAGATTTTTGCATTTTTAATTAAATACCTTGCTGATTTCAACTTTCTGTAATATTAAATAGAAAAACATCAAATTTGTTGTTTCTCACATCTTATTCTGTTTGAGAAACACACCAGTAAACACATAATTATTTTATTATTATTCTATATGTAAACAAAACATTATAATTGTAATATTGTATATTTTTATTTGAAATCATATTATTATTGAGAATGTGCCGATAAAAAATTTCCCAAACATTCAAATTTATTAATTAGATTTCAAATTTTTATTTATTTTTCAACCTTCTGTATACAAGTAGTTTAACAATACATTTGAAAATGTTCGATATGTAAGCATTTTGCAATATTTATAACATTACAGTTAATTTCTTGTTGTAATGTACATGTCCACATTATTTTTAAAGAGCGCAAAATCCTCCTAGAGAAAACAACACGTGACTTTGTTACAACTACAATGCTACAAATATTATTAACACGTGATGTTTACATTTTAAAAAATAAGTTTTTGCAGAAAAATATTGTTTATTTGCAGATAAAAATAATTTTTTTTTTGTATATAAACCACATTATTGTAAGCCTTTAAAATCATACATGTGATTTAATTAAAACCTACATTTTATAATTGATGGAAATAAGTATTTCTGTATGTATATAGAGACATAAAGAAAATTTGGAAAATTTCCGCTATGATCCGAAAAGCACAATGTGTTCTGTAATAACCCTATTTATAATATAATTTCAAATTTATAGTTATTTTCAAATTCTTTACAGACATTTCAATGCAACTTCTTTAGTCGCTCCGGCCAATTTTCATATTTGACCTATGTGGCAATTGTTATATACAAAGGTGCAAAGCGCCTTAAAGAAATATCAAAAGTTGTACCAAATATGAGGGGCTCAGAAGCAGAGTGGCGTAAGCCACAATGTGAATTATGTCACTTTGCTTTTTAAAAATCAGAAAATTTTCAAAATTTTAAAAGCAAAAGTACTTTTGTGAAAAATAAATAGGAAAAAAGCTATTTCGAAACTGGAAACTAATATAACTGATTGTAGAAGATGTGCATAACCGATTGCAGCAAAAAAAAAATTTTGTATTTGGGGCTTACGCCACTCTATACTTCTCAAACCCTCATATTAAAAATGATAAAAAGTTTTATTTCTAGCCATTTTAATTTTTGAATAAAATCTTCAATTTAATCATAACTGTAAACAAGTAATCTACGTATATTAATATATAAAATTATTTAATAATGCAGCAACAAAGTATCAAAATTTCCTCATATTCGCTGCTCTTATATGCAACACACTCAAATCCTTTCAATACAATATCATCTACATTTTCTGTACATGTGCACATGTTGGAATTGAAAAAAAAAATGTTAAAATTAACAACTACTCTATTTTACAATCCAAAAATGTAATAGAACAATAAATATTTGTTGGTTAGCCAACAACTACAAATACAATATTTTCCGATTAATGTCAAAAAATTTTCTCTCTTGTATTATAAAAGTTAAAAAAAAAAAAACAAAACCAAAAAAACTATAAAAGGAAAAAAGTTTTCTTTTATAAAATTGTCAAAAGAAAAGTTACTTTACAGACAGGTAGACGACTAGCGTATATAAAGTGCCGGTTGTAAGAGTACGTATATAATAATATAACAGTAATATAATAATAATAAAGTAACAAACACTTCTACTAGTTACTCATAACGGTATGCAATTATAATTTGAATGCAGGTGTAAAATTTAAATTTTTTTTGCATTCTTTAAAATGTGTGTTTTTTTGGCATAATTATTAAGTTTCTGAACGAATTTAATTGTGTCCCGTGAAAAATTTCAAATTTCTGGGATTGTCAATATCGGCATAATTGTTAAGTTTTGGCTACATGATAAATACGGCAAAATTAATTTAAATTTAAATCTTTTTAACGTAGTTTTTGTAAATTGCAGTTTTTCTAATAAAATTAATCTGGTATGCAAGTAATATTTTGAAAAGTTACTGAAATTTTGCAGAAAACTGTACTAAATTTTATTTAAATTTTTGTTACCAAAAGTTCAACCAGTTGTAAACTAAGAAAACGGGTGTTAAAGTAATAAAAATTAAAAAGTAATGTTATAAAATATAAGATGAATATGAATAATAAAAAATAAAAGTACAAGCTTAAAAATAAAAATTAATATGAAATTTTAATTACGAACTACAGTCAAATTCTCATAGCTATTAATGGATATTTTACTAACATATATTAAAATATTAATATACTTAAAACTCCGGAGTTTTGGGTAACAATTTGAAGTCGAAACTTGGGAAAGAAAAACTCGAGTTTGGGATATTTTGCTTGTAACCACACAATTGTCTGCTTATAGTACGTTCTCATTTCTCTAAAAGCGCCCTACTATCTAATAGTGTAGATAATATTATTCAAAAATCAATTTCTTTTCTATTATCATAAGTAACATAAATTCATGTATGTAAATATATTTACAGAAAAAACTTTTTTATAAAAATGTTTATGCGAATTCAGAATTTCTTTCACTGGGAATTTCTTAAAATTTCTTTGGTTGACTATCTATTTTTCCAGAACATACTCATGTTATTTTCAATATATAGAAGTATAGGTCTTTAACACATAAGTAATTTATACAAAAATTTAGAAACTACTAATTGAACATGATATATTTTGTGGTGGTTATTAATTTTTTTTAATGTGTTGGAATTTTACTATGTGCACACTTTAGTAGCTAATCAATGACTTCTAATAAAATATTTTCAATTTTATTCATATAAAAATTAAGTAAATTTGTAATTTTTATTATTAAAGTGAATTCATAGAATATAATTAATGATTCCTTATGATTACTCACAATTCGTACATTGAAATGGTGATCAAACTATGGTAAATAAAAGTGGCTCTCGTTAACTGAGTTCATTATATTTATGTTATTATACATGGATTTTTAAAAAAAATTATTATGGTTCCGTACATATTTCAAACTTTCAGTTGATTAATATTGTGCTTTGAACAGTTCCAAACAAGCCATGTACAGAAATTGTAATCTAGATTTTTCAAAAAAATTTAGTTTTAGAACGAATTTAATTGTGTCCAATGAAAATTTTCAAATTATTAAATTTCAAATTTCTGCGATTGTCAAGCAGCTTCGCCATCCCAATAATATTATGAATTTGTTTCTTTGAATCATATTTTATGAATATTTTGAGTTTTTTTTAAAATATCACTTATAGAATAATATGATGCCGAAATAAAATAAATGAGAATGCTTAAAATAATATTACTCTGTATAAGCATAGATTATAAAAATTTTGGTTATAATTCCATCATCGTTTTGGTTATAACAACCGTTTGTATTTGTGTACAACTTTGTACAACCGTTAATTTTTAAACTAAACACTACATGAACCAATAAATAATGGTATTTAGATGTAATAAAACAAATTTCGTTGTAACT